TTTACGTACCTATGATAAGGTATTTAACAATGAATAACTTTCTCTTCTCTAACCTGTATCCCCATTAAAGATTCGAACTCATCATGTATATATATCTGTCTCCTATACACATCTAGATGAGTATAAGAGACAGCACTTGGCCCGAAGGGCTCGGTAAACAAAATATTAATTAAAAGGATTAAAATATAAAATATTAACTAAAATAAATTATTTAAAATAAATTTACATTTTTAGATAACATTTTAAAAAACGTTATGTGTTATAAAATAAGTGATAATTAAGTTGAAGAAAAGTGAAAAAAGAAAAAAAAAAACTTGAAAAACAAAGGAGGACTATGAGATAAGGAAAAGGGAAAAGGTACGAAAATAAGAAAGCTTTAGAAGGAAACTTAGTGGATCCATGAATATTATTTAGTGGAACTCTAAATGAGGCTAGTGAAAGGTGTAAGGTGGAAGATGAAAGGCACAAGGCATAAGATGGAAGGTAAAACATTCATATATTTGTATGGTTCATGATATTATTTAAAATACAAAAAAAAAATCCTAAATAACTTCAAAATTTACAATAAGTAAATCATTTTTTTTTCAATAATACCCAAAGTTTATGCTAGATTCTATCCTTTCTAGGTTTAAAGACTTGTTTCTAATTTTTTTTTAATGATATAATTATAATATTATATAAAATTTTAAATTTACAATCATAATATAATATTAATTGAGTAGATGTATGTTAAAATATTATGAGTAAACTCTTAAATAAAAAAATTATATCGTAATATACCACATTTATAAAGTTATAGTAACACTTAGTATATACATACATACATTCCCTTTTTTTATTGCATTAAACTGTATTTGAACTTTTAAGTTTGACAGTGCTTAGTGTGAGTAAGGCCTCATTTTGTATAGTTGTTTTAGGGGTAGCGATTTTGCTTAAACTGTTAAACATAAGTGTTTAGTAAATTTATATATTTTGAAATCGTGATAAATAATATATTTGGTAAAAATTTTTATTTAGGGATTTGAAATTAACAGATAGTGGTTAGGGTCTAAATCACTGGTAAATTAAAAAAATTAGTTTAGGTAATTTTTTGTATCAAATAGTTAGTGGATTGAAAATTTTTAATTTTATTGACAAATTTACCCATTTTAATTTTTAAATTTTTGGTCATAATTTTTAAGTAATATTTATCTAATATTCAATTTTGTTTTTTTACTTT